TTCTCATACTAAATCCAAAACATAGCACTATACCAGCTACTAGGAAGAAATTTAACTCTATCCCACCCCCAAACCAGGACAGTAAATCTAGTCTGCTCTCCCTCAGTCCAATATACGCACAGTATCTAAGCCAGAGAACAAGCAAATCTTTTCTACACCATCAAAATCCCCTCTCTCTTGAGAGATAAGTGATTGTGAACACATTCCTTTTCTAAGACTTTGAAGGAAAAACACAAACCACCTAGGAACAAAAGACAAATTCCTCCTCAAGACATCAGCAGGACTCTCATATACTGCACATTAAAAGTAGTCTAACAGATGGAGGTCTCTGTAAGCAAGAGGAGAAAAAGAAATAATACGCTTGTAATAGGACACAATTTAATGGACTGCACTGGTCTCCTGTTACTAGCATTGCTTCTTTTACAACTGCAACTGTGGAAGAGCAGCGTTAAACACTTAGGTGGTCTTCCAGTACTCTTGGCTGAGATAACAGGCAATAAAGAGGACACCCTGAAGTTTCAATTTCCAAGAAATTCCACTGTGTATTTGGATTACTACCAAATTAGAAACGAGGACACTCACACAGTTCTCAGCAAGGTTTAAAACAAAACCTGAACCCCTACTATTAGTTTCTGCAGAACCTCAAATATCTGCTGGAAATCTGACTTATAACTTCCTTATTTCCATAAAATATCCACTCTAGTAACTTCTTTTCTTGAGAACTTTAGAAATGTAGAGGTAAGGTTATGCATCTCAATCTCTCTCCTATAATCAAGCATTACAAAGAGAATTAAACAATTTAATGTTCATCCAAAAAGTTAAATCATCAGACACAGCAGAGAGCATCTTATGGAAGCCATGACAACACATCAGTTGTAAAGCAATCGGGAAAGTCACTGGGTATAAAAGTCATATCAGGAATTGCCAACACAACCAAGCTGTCTGTACTTTACCTTTTCCAGATAGAGTCTCAAACTACCTTCAGAAACGCTGATGCCCTAAGGGGACTGAGTTATAGTCCAACCACCAAATTCTAATGGTTGACATTTTATTTATGGATGATCAAGCTTCTTGGAAGGACAGCTATGAAATATTTAGTCTACAGGACTGAGATAAGGGTCACCTCAATTTTCACAAAGACAGAGTTTGTTGTCCTGAGAGTTCAAGCTGGTGACTGAGTCACATAAATTGTGCAGGGCTCCTCATCTCTCCTGGCCAGCAGGACTAAAGCTGTCCAGACTCTGGAATGCTTTCCTGCTCCAAAATATTAATATGATTCAGGTGACATGCTCTGATGGTATTAAGAACCCTGACTAAGGAATTTAATTCAATTAGGGGGAAAAACGCCTGCTGTATTGCTGTGATTTTTTTGGCAAAATGAGCAACTTCAATAGAGGATTTGAGAACAAATTTCACAAATGAGTGCAAACTTTAGTCCTAATGTCAGAAGAAGGTTCTTTGCCGAGAAGTAACAGCTGAACTGCTGCATTAAAATGTAACATCATCTTGGTTTGAGGGGGGAAAGAGACGGCATTTTTAGATACAGGTAGATACTGCTATTATGCAAAGGTTGAGACCAAGGAGTACTAAATTTATACTTCTTTAAGTAGAAGCTGAAACTGCTCGTTTCAAGATGGAAAAATCTTTTCCTTTTAAAAAGACTTCCCCCTAGAATCGAGGCTCTTAAATGAACTTGTACAAAAATAATCTTGAGTTAACAATATAAAGCAAGGAGAAACGAAAAGGGCAAAAATTACTTGTTTTTTCTAGACTTAAAACATTGCTGAGATACCACAGAGAAGAAGAATAGAAAAAAGCCAGACACATGTAGAAATCTAAAAATGTGTCCATAAAAGAATAAATCAGGAGGTGCATATAAAGTTTCAAACAGAAAGCAAAAGAGAAGAAAACCAGAAAATGTGCTTGAAGTTCTGGAGATTTTAGCTATGTGAAACTAGGATGCAGCATCCATGTAATACTGGAATATCTAGACATCCTATTATACTGCCCTTTTAAATGATAAAATAGGTTAATTTCTTTGCTGAACATCTGGCCACCCTGAAGTTACAATCATTTTTATTAAGTCACTGAGGCCTGTATTTTATCCTGAATTCTTCTGGGTAAATAAATTTTGCCAACTTCTGCTGTATAGTATTGCCAGTAGTGAGAAAGAGTCAGGGGAGCAGAAAAAAAAACAGTGAGCAACCTTGAACATACAATTTGAAGGAAAACTTTTCAGTCTTCATTCTCCCACACACTTGAGGTGACGGAAACAAGCTGCTCGGGACCTGCAGAAGGCATCTTGCAAGCGTACATAACAATGGATAACAGAAGTTTAGGAGAAGGAAAGCCTCAAAAACTCAATTTCAGAATTGCTCATTGTGACTCACATGTGTGTTTCTGCCAGACAACACTGCAATATGTGGCAAACAGACATTTATTATATTAGGAAAAAGACAGCAACAATATTACCTAACACTTATAAGCAGCTCCAGCTTAACCTGATCTCCCTCATCTGCATGCAGTTTGCTGTCTTGTTCCACGCTGATTAATCTCAGCTAGTTAAATCTAGGCAGAGCATGCTAACTTGCAATTAAAAGTAGCTAAAGTCATGCCTAAGTAGCCCAAATTTAGTTAACATGCTATTTATTATCATCCCTCTTGAGTAGTGATCTGGCGGTTCTGTGACCACCCCTTTATCCACTGCATTTGTTCTGTCCCCTTGCTTGCCTTCTTTTTTCAGTTTTCTTTTGTGCTGCTTTTTTGGTACAGACTTTAATTCCCCCTCTGATCAATTTGGGATTCATAAGCCACTAAGTACACTCTTTTGGAAACATTATCTCCAAGGGATGATGAAGCACTTCAAGGGATGATGATTACAGCAGCACATCATTTTCTCCTGTAGTACGTGACAGTGAGTGCTGTCACACCACACGAACAGGGTGACTAATACTGACTGAAGGAACACAGGGAACGGTTTCTTTCTTTGTGCCTTCGTCCAGTCTCCCACACTTTAAACTGGCATTGCCCCTTTTTTATGAAAAGATCTACAGCAGTTCCTCTGGAGCTGGACAGACAGTTTTGAATGGAATCTGGTTCTGCCCATCTTTTATCAGAGTAGTGAATTTTTTGGGAGACAGACTGTTGAGCATTATGCATTTCTGAGGGGAACCTGACCCTAAAGGGGTACGTCCCAGGCATGGCTGTGCAGATCCCACTTGCCAAAGCAGGGGATTACATGTGTGGTGAGGAAAGAATATAGAAGAAAATACTGCTTGATGGTTTTTTTACACAGTACCAGAACCAGATTTTTGCATACATAATGACTGTACTATTTTTACCTCGTCATAAATGACTCATCAACACCAACTGCCTAGGATCCACTGAGAATATGATCTTTCCTTCCCGCTGGTTTTCTAGGGAAATCAACTTGACCCAACAGTCCTGCCTGTCAGACCTCCCACTTCACCACATTTGAAATAACAGTAGAAATCTCTAAAGATAATTCAGTTCCTTTAGGGTTTATGAAAAAAAGGAGTCATATATGGAAGAAGTAGCCAAGTTGGTACTCCCATGAGAAAAAGGCTGAATGCAGTCCGTGGGGGAAGGACCGGATGTGACAGATAGCTGGAATTATAGCAATGGGTGGGAATTAGTAGGAATCCAGACTTCATTAGTCCCACTGCTCATGAAATGACTTGTTTATCTAGACAAGTGTTTTTGGAAAATACGTATTTTCTGACATTCTTCTATTGTTACTTTTTTCTTGATTTATACCCCATCTATCTAAGCCATTTTCCATCACTTCAGGAACTGAATCTATCATCTGTTGCCAAAACAAGTAAATCAGAGCTGTTTTTCAGTGGACTGTGTTTTGCAAATACTTTCTTTTAATTGACTTGCAACTATCAAAGGCACAGAAATGATAGTGAGGATAAAAGCAACAATTTTCTAGCACAGTCTAGATTTGTATGAGCATTTAGCTGTAATTTCCTTACATCTTTACTTTAAACCGGCTCCTACCATGAACTGCTTAATGATTTTGCTCTTAAGAGCTCTGCATGAAAACATTTGAATACATTTTCTATGTTTCCCTTGAAAAGACGAGGACATTTCTTAGTGAATGGGAGAAAGAGTACCCTATGTAATTATGACATCGTGAAGGTGGGGGAGAGAAAAAGAGAGAGAAAGGAGAGCAAGCGAAAGGAGAGGGAGAGAAGGGAAAGGGAGAGAAAGAGGGAGGCAGAGGGAGTGCTGTTTCACTGGGAGAAGTTTTATCAGAAATCAATAATGAGATAAATATTACTTCTTGAAATGCAGCTCTGCTTTAAGAGTTGAGGAAGACTATATTATGCTAAGTTATTTGAGATGGCAGAAGTTAGAGAAAAAAAAATCTCTAACCTATGTTAGAGAAAAAAAATTCCAGCCACAGCTTTTTCCGTTGAAAGCAAGGTTTTGATGTTAAGTCTTACTTTCAGTATTGCAAGTTCTGAAGTAGATTAGCACACATGCTCATTGGCTTGTAAGCCTGTCCTCAGTGTTACAGAGAGTTCTTTTAGTTTATAAAAATCTGAGTGTCATGCTATTTATTACGACTAAACAGATAAATTGAACTGTATGGGTCTTTCAGACATAGTGGAAAAACACCTTTCATTTTCAGTTTCTGAGGTGCACTTCTAACAAGAAGGCAGTCAAAAAAGTCAGATGTACTTTGATGGGCCAGTGCCTGATTGCTGAAGACGTTCTGTAAATTAAATGATGCAAACAAATATAAAACCAGAGAGTGGTGTACACCAAGCTTTCGTACTTCTTTTTTTTTTCAGATGAAATTTTAAAAATCATCCTGTAGAATAAATAAATTGGTCTGAAAATAATCACGTTGCAAATTCTTAGCACTTAGTCAGAATTATTTATTTTTCAACAGAAGTTTGCACTCTTTTCATTATGGTTGCTTAATACCAGCCTGTGATAAAATGCTATTTATTTGAAGCACACTTTACCTGTGTCTCTGGGATGATAGGACTATCTTCAGGAGAAATTCTAAAGAAAGTGGATAAAGGCGATGACACGATAACGGGGTTTGGCCTTACAAATCCACTCAGATCACAGCTAGGAATGTCATTCTCTTCCTTCTTCATGACCAGGGTATCCATGACATAAAAGACATTCCAGGGAATCCATACTGTGTGATACTGTGTCAAGAACGGTGATCGCTCAAACACCAGTGTCAGCGAGGCACCACCATTTGCTACCAAGTCAAACCTAGAAAAAAAAACCCAACAGGGCTAGCTAGTCAGCAAATTCCCAAAGCCATCCACAGCCTCCATTTTACAGATTGATTCTTCATTCCATTGTACTGCTCTGAAGGCAGAATGGCTCTACTGGGAACAATGGAGAAATCAATTAAATTATATTACATAATACTTCACTAAGAGAATGAAGAGTTTGGGATGCTGCGTTTAAATTAAGCAAGCCCTTCTACCTCTAAAGTATAGAATCAGCATGTTTTACATTTGAAGAATGTACAAAGTACAACTTCGGTCAATCACTTTTTTCATGTCTTTGGTTTCCATTATCTTATTATTGTCTTATTTTTACAAGCAGCTCTTCAGTAATGCCTTTGCTGTCTTTATGACTTAGAAGTGCTTCAAAGGGAACTTACATTCCATCTTGCCGAGTGATTGTATATCCATAGTCTGGATAGTGTAGAAAGGAGACGTTCACTCCAATGAGTGGCGTTCCATCAGCAGTTAATACTTGGCCCCTTATGACGGATGCAAGACTGTGAAGAAGATGCAGGATCAAATTACAAATTTGCTTTTTTCGTTCTCTTTTGAATGAATAAAAGCTAGTAGAGCGAACACACACACACACACCCCCGCCCTCTCCATGGTATCAACTCCCATTAAAAAAACATTCCTGAGACTCTAACCTTTTTACAAGTTCACATAATTTACATGGTATAAACAAATGCCTTGAAATCTACAAATAATAATTTTGTTTCAATATTGTTGATTTTACTTTGGTTCATTTTGTCTGTACTAAGTTGCTAAGACCAGAAATTCACTGAAGAATTTTAAGAACTTATAAACTCTAGATGTTCCCATTGCAAGTCATACCTCTGGCAGACTCTTAAAGAACAACGTACTTTTCAATTAGTATCAAAGCAATCTGTAAAACTGCAGGGACTATGAAGTACAAAATTTAAAAGAGCAATAAGGAACGTTTGTGGAACAACTTTTAATCAACTGCTGTGCCCAAACACATTAATGCTGTTAAATTACTGCAAACGCAGTAGTTCTAGTGTAAATCATCTTCCTTCACTCAGTGAGATCCCAGACACCTGCTTCCTGTTACTGGTTATTTTCAGGTCATTACTGCTTCGTAGAGCACCAGTCAAATAGTTTATGCAATTATACTGTCATGCACTTAACAGTTCTATTACATTAATTCATAATTTATATTATTTAGTGAGCTCAGTTTAAAAAGTGCAGCTTTGCTTTTCCTTCTGAAGTGTTTTCATTGCTTTGATGTATTTCCAACTGTGCTAGCCCAAATCAACTGGTTAAATAAAGATTTATTTAATCATTAATGAAGTGCCCTATTAGAATACAGGTACTAAGCATGGCAAGTATCTTCTGTAACCTACTGGCACTGGCAATTTGAATTTTGCAGGAAATGAGACAAAAGCAATTTGATATATTTGATATATTAAGAGAAAAGATCTCTCCTGAAAGTCCGTGCCATGAAATTTGCAGTCACAGTGGATCTTCTCCTAAAGGTGAATCTCACACACACTTCAATTTCTTTCATATTCATGACTAAATGATGAGTCATGCTCACCTCTTATTAAAAGGACTTTCCCCAGGTATGACATGAGTGCTGTCTGCTCCAATGAGAAAACTGATCCGGTCATAAAATGCTTTGGCAGCTTGCTGAGATGGCGACTGTTGGCTTTGGCTGATAATATCTTGGGGATCAGGTAGTCCACGACAATAAGGCTGGTTTTGGCAAGAACTCTGCAAACAGCAGTCAGGATCCATACAATCAACTAGCCCATCTGTTGGCAGAAAGTCACACAAATGAACAAACTCTTCCTCCTGCCCCTCTGTGTGTGAATGAGCCAGCCAGCAGAAAGACTAAAAAAGTTATGTAGTATGAAAGAATACTAATAATTAATATTTTAATGAACTCACTTTCAATTAAGGAAAGTGAATTTGTTTCCGCTGAGTTCTTAAACTCCCATGGAAATCCATGCAAGCTGAATACACTCAGTATTGTGTATAAATTAAACCTATTTATTTGATACTTTTCTAAAAACATGTTGAGCAAACCAGAAAATGAAGGCACTCAGGCTCTGCATACACTGTTAACTTATAAATATTAAACATTTTAGGTGGGTCTAAGTAGCTTTTATCTGAGGTTATTTGGCTTGCTAGAGAAAAGAAACAAGTAACTCCCACTCTGCTGTTTTCCTGAAGTTTTTTAGCATATCTATGCTGCAAGTAGCTTTAAATATTTCACAACATTTATCAAGGTGGATTCCTTTATACCTTGGCAGAAAGATTTTGTTGCTAGTGGCAAAGGCAATTTCCACAACTATTTTCCATGAAAATGTATGAGAGAACAAAATCTGTATTTAACATTTAGATTTTATTCTGAATAAACTGGTGAGGAATGCTGGCCAGTATAAACAAGATTTACACACATGGGTGCTTTTATGCTTATGTGCTGAAATATTCACATATAATGAGCATAAGATCTGTCACATCACTGGAAATCTAATCTAGTGAAAGATTAAAATCAAGATCGAATTGGTAACTACTAATTTGCTGTAAGTAAAGTCATAAGGAAAATGAGCCTGGAAATGTCAGCTACAGAAAATTTCTAGATGAATGTAATATGGTATCATATAGCTGATAATTGTTTCCCCAAAAGAACAGCAAGACTGAAATAGCTCAAACATTTTATTATTCCTTTTAGATTAGAGAGGGAGCTTGCTTGCTGCACTAAACTGAAAAACATACCAGTGCAGCACCTGGAGGAAGCCCATGACTGCTTCTCTCACAAAATAATCTAGCTTTAGAGTAAAACTTCCTTCTGAAGGGAAAAATTTTGTTCAATCATATGTTGAAAAAAAAACAGAGATCTTCTAAAGGTATTCCTCTAAGGATTGCTGTTCTATGTGGATCAATTAGAGGATTGGCAAAATAGTAAAGGACAGGGATTTCTATTCTTTTGCACATCTAAAATTCTTATTTAACTCGGCTGACATCGACATTCGGGGAAAATAAAAGGGATGAAAAAGTCATTGTTAAGTATATCAAAGTTTAAACTTTTTTAAGAGAAAAGAAAGAACATTGATTTTTCCTGGGATGAGGATACGCCAGAGGGTCGTGTTGCCATTCAGATAGGCCTCGACAGACTGGAGAAATGAGCTGACAGGAACCTCATGCAGTGCAACAGAGAGAAGTGCGAAGTCCTGCACCTGGGGAGGAACAACCCCCTGCACCAATACATGCTGGGGGAGAACTGGCTGCAAGGCAGCTTTGTGGATTAGACCTTGGGAGTCCTGGTGGACACCAAATTGAAGATGAGCCAGCAACATGCCTTTGCGGCAAAGAAGGTGCCAATGACATCCTGGGCTGCATTAGGAGGAGTTTTGCCAGCAGGTCAAGGGAGGTGATCCTTCCCCTCTGCTCAGCACTGGTGAGGCCACACCTGGAGTGCTGTGTGCAGGCTGGGCTTTCCAGTACAAGAGAGACATGGACATACCAGAGAAAGCTCAGTGAAGGGCCAGGAAGATGGTTAAGGGCTTGACACATCTCTCCTACGAGGAAAGGCTGAGAGATCTGAGGCTGTTTAGCCTGGAGAAGAGAAGGCTTGAGGGGGGAATCTCATCAATGTGTACAGATACCTAACGGGAGGGTGTAAAAAAGACCACCTTTCAGTGGCGCCCCGCGAAAGGACAAGAGACAATGGGCACAGACTGAAACACAGGAAATTCTGTCTAAACATGAGAAAAACTTTTTTTACCATGAAAGTGGTCAGACACTGCAACAGGTTGCCCAGGGAAGTTGTGGAGTCTCCATCCCTGGATATATTCAAAATCCAACTGGACACAGCCCTGAGCAACCTGCTGTAGTTGACCCTGCTTTGAACAGGGCGTGGGACTAGATGATTTCCGGAGGCCTTTCCAACCTCAAATAGTCCCTGACTCTTGTGATTTTCTAGTCTCATTCTTGTACAATATGACACCCTTTCTTAGCTGAAGTACTGAACTCCCTTGCTGATTTTAATTCTAGAAGCCTGCATTAGTGTCAAAGCTGGGAGTACTGATGGTTAAAAGCACAGTTTTGGGGTTTTATATCTCTGTATGGTCTCCCAGGCAATATCTGGTGCAGTTGCCAAAGAAATGCTCAAATTCCATCATTCATCTTTGTTAGTTTATAAAAAGCAAATGTACATCTGAAGTATAGTCTGCAGGTCATAAAACTGCATGAGACTGACACCTTCTGAACTAATCAGCTGGAAATGCATTTTTACAAGCCTCTCCACTAACATCAATCAGAGAAAGAATCTCATTTTCACCAGCCAAGATACAGGGATACACTGTTTGTTATTTTTCTGTGGAGTTTATCAGCAACTTGCCCAGGCAAGTGACGGATGGTTATGAATCTGGCTCCTTATAACTTGAGAAAAGATTTTTCATTCTTTCTCTGTACTTATGTGGCTAGAGCTATCTAGTACTACTAAGTTGAGTACTCTATTGCACTGTGTGAAGCAGAGTAAAATTTCCTTTCTGAAATGGCTCTGCATAATTATTGATGAATTTTGTTTAGCCTGAAAAATGTGAGACTTTTAGTTCAACACTGGCTTATCAGTTATATCACTCAACTATGATAGTGAAATTAAAAAGAAAATAGAAATTCCAACAGCCAGCTGGACAATCATTATCAGTCTCAGAAGGCTATTTTGTATTTTTTTGTTCTAGATGTAAGCGGTTCTTCTATATATAGAAGACGTAATGACTACATTATTGTTTTCTTCCTCAAAAGCTAAAGTCTAACTGTGAAAATCTTGACTAATGTTACTTTTCCCTTTGTTGCAGAATGCACAGAATTGCAATGGAGCATGTTGATAAGATTGCTTATTTGGAGAGACTAATAAAACCACCAAAACATTAAATGAGAGGAGTCAAGACAGAGGATTCCCACACTTATGGATGTCTAAAAAATAAAATGTGTCAGTGGGCATGTTTGCTTTTGAATGGAATTTAAAGGGTATGTATAAAACTGCTGGAAGGAAGAAAAATAGGGGGACAAAGTAAGTTCTGGGCCCAAGTTCTGTCAGTGTCAAGGGGAGATCGTGGCCAAGGACCTACATAAATCACATTCTTGGTAAGTAAGTTGATTATATATTTAGGCAACAAAAAAACTCCATGAAGTGAAATTCAGTGCCTACATAGGAAGAATACCGTTTTGGAGCTATGATGCTGGCCATCCCACCAGACCGGTTTTGGTGACTGTGGCACACTAAGGCAAGAGAATGGAAAGGACAGAAAACTGTATTAACAAACCTCAGTTATCCTCACATATAGCTCAATTTTACAACAGGCTACAATGAATGGACTCAATTATAGACACCAAAAATGACTGCCTGTAGGAGCAGCTGGTCGGAAAAGCCACAAAAGCAGAAATAGCCCTTGATTTATTCCTGAGCAGTGCACAAGGACCTTGTTCAATGTGACTATTGCAGTATCTCTATAAGCATACCTATAGCGTACTCAAATTCTACATTCCTGTTGGAGTGAAGAAGCCTAAAATATAAAGTGTTGGGCTCTAAATGAGCTGTCACTCCAGAAAGAAATCTTGGAGTCACCATGGATATATGGATATATCCACCCAGGACTCCCCAGCAACCACAGATGCAAACAAAAAGGTGAAGAATAATGGGAAGTGTTGGAGCACAAACCAGAGAGCATAAGCATGCCCCTGTATCAGTCCTAATTCAAGTACAACCTTCCTGAAATTTCCTGAGCTTGGGTTATTTTTGTACTTAGTAACCCTTCTGACATTCAAAACATTCTGTGGCAGTAATTTCCTACTTTAATTAGCAGCCTGCTAGTACACCAAAGAAAAGATAAGTTCACATTTGTCCTATTATATTCTTTTGCTAAGCATTTGCTATTAGGCAGTATTAGAGAAGAGGCCCTGGTTTAGGTAATCTTTAGGCTGAATTTGTGCTATCCTGTGACAATGCTTATCAGGAGCAGGCTATCCTAGCCTATGCACGTAATTACAAAAATACAGTAGTTCTAAGTATGCTGTGCTTTATTACAGTATTTATTTTCATTTTAGTAATAAAAGAATATTAATAATCCCTTAAGTCCTTCTGGTGGAAACCTGTAACTACTCTTAATAATTGGATAGGAGCTAATAAAAAGCAAACTTAACAAAGGAATCTGTTCAATAAAGACCTACCTAAATTAAAGACTAAACAGCTTATTCTTCCTACAGTGATGACAAAACATGGCACACTTTGTTAAAGTATAACAGTGACACATCTTTTCCCAAGTAAAGAAGTTAGGCTTATTCCACCCACGGACGACTCTGACTTCCCCTCTTCCCACAAAGTCATTAGGAGTTTAATTCAGCCTAAGGTCTGCTTGTTGCACACACATTCCTTGTGGGTTGCTAAAATGTAAATAAAATCCTGTATTTTATTATCCGAATCAAACACATGGAAAAATAAAGAGTGATCCTTAAAGAGAAAGGAAATGATCTGCAAGACTCTCAGAAATCTGTATTAAAAGGAAGATGAGTAATAATCATCTCATCATATGTCAATAGTATCTAGAAGGGAAATTGATTAAGTATGCCTTGACGTCATTAGCATTTCCTATGGAGAATATTCCCACTGAGGTCCTTGGGATGCTCATGTTCACAGAACTTGAACAATCAGTTCCAGAAAGAGCTAAGAATCAAAGGAAGAGCAGATACTGTTATTAAAGAATTATACTCATTAATACATGAAATATATTTTATCCAGTGTAAGATGAAACATAAACATTAACCACAGCGTATCAATTAGCTAACAACCAAGATAACTTTACTTACATAACCACTGAGCCTAGTGCAATGTAAACCACACTACCTGCAGTCATCAGTATAAATTCAGAGTCAGTGCTCAGATAAGCTAATCTCCCACAATAAACAAATACAGCAGAGGCATCCTTGTGCCATTCCCTGTAGCTGTCTGGAATTTGAATGGCTTGCTCAAGAGATTAGTGGGCTGATTGCAGGTACTCTTGGAAAGGCAAGAAACACCGCTCCTCTTTCCAGGTGGGTTTCTGGCAAAGACGACTTTCTTTTCCCAGTTTTGTTTGGTATGCTTCCAGTTTTTAATTTAATTTAATTGTTATATTTTAACCCTTTTCCTCAGCCACTACTCAAAGACTGAAGTGAACACGCTCTGCACTGAAGCATATAAATTAAAATAAGGTCCACTGAAAGAGAAATGACAATGACAAATAGCAGTATATACGTCAATCATGGCAAAACAATTGTTTGGCCAATCCCTTCCTCATACATAGCTGCATAATGTCTGTAAAGGAAATAAAAAAAAAATTGAGAGGAAAAAAAGCATCAAAATACCAGCATTACTTTTTTTTTTTTGCAATATTGTTCTTTCTTCTTGAACTTTAAGTCATCCTGTTAGACCCTTCTGCTCCAATTCCTCATTCCTTTTCCCCGTTTCCTCACAAACAGCTATTATTGTTTTCAGTCTGAAAACTTGTTCTGTTTATGTGCATCCCTGTTCACCTTGCTCCTCTTCCTCCCACTGCTCCGTTTTCTGCTCTTGACTCTCCCTTTGATATGTCATGTCCTTCTACTATCTTCAATGTTTACTGAATCTGTTTTAGTCTATCACTGGGCTTTCAACTTTTTTTCCCTTTTTTCCCCTACCTGATCTATTTTTTTCCTCCAAGTTGTTTATTCTCTAACCTAGTTTCTCCTCCTCCTTGCTTTGCCTCCTTTCATGCTTGCAGGTTTCTCTTTCTTCTTTATGTTCATAATCCCCCAGGCCACCTGAACTTAATTCCCCAAACAGCACATCTCTGCATGGATATGCTATGGCTAATTGTTCCTCTTGCTCCCTTCCTACACGCAGAAATTCAGCTTCACACTGGCTCAGATTGCATATACCAGATTGTGTCAGATTCTTTAGGCCCCTAAACGTGCAAAACTGACTCAAAATATACAATATGTAAAGGAGAAGATGACAAATCAAATGACGTGTAAAGCAATAAACAGCAGCACTGTTTCAACTGTGTTACTTATTTTCCTCAGGAAGTAAATGCTGCTGTTTGTGATGTCTAAGATCCCAACTGCAGTCGGGATATGAGAGCAAACAGCCAACCAGCAATGGCAAAGGCATACGCAGTCTAAAGCTGAAAAACAAAGTCACAGATGACTTTATCATCATCCAGAGGCCCTAATGGAGTTTCTTATCTCTGTTCTGAATCTGAAGGTGTTAAACAAAAAAAGAGTTGATGAAAGAAGGGGAAGAAAGACAGACAATAAAAGCATTATGCTGATCTAATATTTGACTGCATTCACATTGAATCTTGTTTTTGTGTGGTTTTTTCTGTGATTCTGGAGTCATGCCAAAGTCACAGCCCCTCCACCTTCCTTACCCTACAACCATGATTGCAGATTGATTCCTTAAGTCAACAGTCCTGCCTGCATCTCGCTGCAGATTCTTACCTGTCACCTGGATGACAGACTGCAGAAAAGCAAGCCAAAAAAAAAGACTTCTGGGAGCATCCTGTCAGTCATCTGAGCATTCACAGGCTATGGAGGGATAAGATCTCTGTAGACTGGGCAACCAATTGTTTCCAGCAATAGTATCACAGGTCAAAATGTAAACTCTCCGTCTGGCCTTTTCTCTTGGGATAAATTCCTTGTGAGGTCACTGAAAATTTGAACTCCTTTCTTTTTTTTTCCCTCCGCTACAGTTCACTGAGTTGAGACTATGTTTTATTCCTGTACAAAAGAGCATTGCAGGGAAACGAACGTGACACCCATCATTTTCTAAGTACATTTCTCACCTGTCATAAGCATCTTGTAAGGCTTTGCTGATACGCCATATAAAAGCACTGAGTATCACAGCCTATTCGTACAGGCGTAAAAGCTAGTAAAATGCATGTATGGTTCTCATGGCAGTATTTCATCACCTGACTGTAAAATCTCCGTTCCTCAACAGGTTCTCCCCAGTGTTAAAGATCCAGTTGGTATATCTTACCTCCTTCGTTGTCCTTACTGTCAGTGCAGAGAGTTTCCATGGCTACGTCACAGCCCGCTCCCCTCCATCCTGGCTGGCAAACGCAGTGCCAGCCATTTTGGTCCAGTGTGCACCTCCCATTGCTGTTGCACAAGCCAGGGCAGCCCTCTGTTTAAACATACAAAGAAAAATCACAAGTGATTTAAATACTGCAATTATACGAAAAGAAAAAAAAAATACGAACAAGGGACACTTACTGGGAACAGGCCTTAAGAACAGCACAAATACTGTAATTGCACATGGAGTGGAACAGCAACATTACCTGGGGAACGTAATTCTTAACAAAGTGGCATCTTTGATTGGCCTGACACTTGAGACACCACTTACCTGTACAGGCAGGAAATAAATGCACCAATCCTCTAAATACCTGCAGGCCAGACAAAATCAAGTTTGTTTTTTAAATTTTTTTTTTTGGCAAAGTAACAAGACATGAGTGCATAGTGCAAACACAGCTGTGTAAAATGATACATCTTCTGTGCTCATAGAATAGATCATTATTTGCTCTATGCAGTATTGGTTACTTACTGGCACAAATCTTTAAGCTCCCTGTTACTATGAACAAATCCCTCCAAATTCTTAAGTAGGAAAATGGCTATGATTTTAGGCATGTAATAAAAGAGAACGTTAACTTTATCTGGTCTCAGAGTTGCCGTATATTCATGTGAAATTACAGTGTGTTAAATAATTGCACAAAGTATAGGCCAGTTTTAATGACTATACTTTATGCCAAAAATACATTCCTTTTCACAGAATAAGCAAAGCCCAGGAAATAGTGAAGCAGCTTAGCATCTATTCTAACAAACATTAGGATTCAGGCTGCATACGGATGGGACAGGACCAACAGGATTTCCAACTAAATGTAATAGCTGTGCGTATTTGATTACTTAGGACGGACAAAATGAAATACCATAAGGACCACAATAAAACATTGATAGACTGAACAAAAACACGGTAGTGACGTGCTTCAAGACAGATAGCAGAGTGATTTTTTGTGACAATCTCCCTAAGGCTTTTGTGCTGTTACCTTTATATCCTATCTTGTCTGCTTTTATGGCCAAGGAGGGAAAATTTGGGAAACAATTAAAATAATTTAATATATCCAAAATCGATAATTGTTTTCAGTCTAACATTGCATTAAAAGAAACAGTATCTGTCACTTCCTAGTGATGAAATCTGGCATGCAGCCAACATGATCTGTATGAGGATGACAACACTATAAATATGTAGATTTTGGTGTTCCTTATCTATGGCTATGGTAAGACACTGACAGAAGCAAGTACAGATATGGCACTAAGTATCTTATGAGAAGGTGGCTACAAATCAGATATTTTTGGACACAACAATTTTCTGTAAACTTTTATCCAAAAAACCTAAGTAACTGGCTAAACACTTCTTCACTTTGTAGAACTACTATCTTCGTGAACTAATCTACTGACCCCTTTTGGTTAGGCTTAGTTGAGCTTAGAACAGTCTTTCAGAAGTAATAGTCTATTTTTTTCTTCTAAAGACTTTTGAATTTACTGACTCCTTTCAACCATGTAGCTCCAAATTACAAACATTCCCAGAAAAGAAGTTATATAGGGTGCTTAACTCTTGTCAAATTACTCTTAGAAGCCAGAGAATCAGGAAAACCTCCTGTGAGGAAGTATGGTGATGCTACAATTATGGATATTGTGCCATCATGCCAGGCTGAGATTAGTCTTGCTACTCTTACTCTTTCAGACTGTAGCTGCTAATAGTGTTTGTTGACGTACTGAGAGCTATTTTTTTCTTAATCTTTCTTCTGTTTAATTTATGGAAGACTTACATATTTAATTGCAATACTGACAGAGCATTTTAGGAGTCAACTGGGTACACTCAAGACTTATTGTGTGAAAGCCTGGATATTGCCATGAATATTGCCATATTCTAATGAAAAAAACACAAATAAGGAATAGAGAAAGATACTCGGGGAAAGAGGGGTAGGAATATTTTAAACATTTTTCTAAATAAATCTTTCACCATAACTGAAGATACAAGAATCTTTGCTGTTTCACAGTAGGCTTTTGCAGCCTTGAACCTTTTAATTGAAAATGTTGCAGAGAGTATACAAGCTTTTCCTAGCTTCATACAAAATACAAGTCATGATTTCCTATAGATTTTCTACATTCAGATAAACAAAAGCTTAAAAGCCTGGGGTATTCTATTGATCTGTCTATATATAAATACACACATATCTATAATTAATCTGTTCTTTAGCACTAGTGACACTTGTTCTGTGACAAGAGTACCGCTTTGCTTTGTTTCCTAAATATTTACAGTTTTGTAGGTAGAGGTCCAATGACAAAACTAACAAAGAAAATGCACCAAACAGCAAATGAATACTATCTTCAGTTTTTGGTTCAAACAAAATCTAATACATGTATACAGTTTGTATATAAATGTATAATTACTGACAAAATGTTACTATATAACATAAGCAAGATTTCATTTTTAATTACAGAGGAGTTGAAAGTCATATGAGTTAAATCTGTAATCCATGGAATGTATGTAAGAGAAGATTCTTGTGCCCAGACTAGTATGTTTATAACTATATATTCATATAAAAAAAGTACATGTAGGTATAGGCATGTTATCAAAGAGCAAATATACAGTACCTTTCACTATCTTATCCAAATAGTGAGCTTGAGAATTAAAAAGAAAAAAAAAAACAGACAGACATTTCAGAAGTGTCACATAAAACAAGAATTGTTCAGAATTCACATGCAAATCAAGCAGGTGCACCTGACATTAAAAAATGAAAATGTATTTCAAAGCTTTTAAAAATGCAAGAAATTCTCTTTTCAGCAAACATCGTCATGATTCAATGAAACTATTTTAGAAAGGAGGCCTGTGGAAGAAAGAGATGCTGCCTTTCTGAGACTATGTTTTTCTTCTGACTTCTCTTCGCATGCTTTGATTTTTACGCATAACAAAAATATAATCAAAGCTAGTTAAAAAATTCAGTTTTTAACACGACGTAATTACTTAGCTTCTGAGCTTTAAAACACTGACCATACTGGAAGATCCTTGATTTGCAGGTCATGTATGACTCTGACAGCATAACCAGCACACTATCTTAATTCCAATTGGATTAACAGGTTTTTTAGGAGGAATAGTTTTCTGCTGTTTCAATTCAGCCACAGTTATTCTTCCGAGCACACACACCAATTATGTAAAATAAGTTAGATTGTATATATGGGGTGGAAGAGGGCATAGTGGGGTTAGTAGCGTGGTGATCCATTTCATTTGGAAAAACAGGTGGAAATTAAACTTAGGCTTTAGATGTATAAAAATAAGTAACATGGGTATATCCAAGAATAGCAAGACTTTTTTTCATAAGTTATGACACTTAAAATTTCACAAAAAATTTGAGTAGGCAGATGGGTGAATGACAGACAGAGCACAAGATGGATTTAAAGCAGCAGGCCCTACGTTTAACACATGAAACACAGCAGAGATGGGTTATACATTCCCTCCTTACTTTCAGGAAACAGACATCAACTGCAGTTGTGTTAAAGGGATTAATGTCATATAGCAAAACCATGTAGGACAGGTCCATCGCAGGCTACCAAACCCAGCCACCTGCACATAAGGTGACGGGGCATTACAGACTACTGCAGTGGGGACACGCCAAGCTGAGTCAACAATTTTGGATTCAATCCCCTGGTTTTGCTGTGGACAAGATCTCTCAACAGAGCCCTCATGGGCTCTTTTACTTTCAAAATTTGACCTTTTCTAAAACCCTGCTGGATGATGGCCCCTGTCTGTCCTGGTACTCTGTCACTTGCTATTAAACCTCAACTTTGTGTATTGGATGGTTAAGAAAAAAGCATTTCCAACCGTGGCATCTCCTCCAGTTTGGATGAAGGGGAAAAAGCTCTTACTGAGCCTGAGGAGGGAGGTGATGAGATAGTCTTACAGAAGCCACAGTCACTGCCTCGACTAAGAGATGGAAACTTTCCAGTCCCTCTCTCTCGAAGAAAGTGTCAGGTGTCCACTGCACAGGTTGTTTTGTTTTTTTTTTTTCTATAATGGTAAGGTTAAAGGGAGACAAAGTAAGAAGATGAAAACATCAATTACAGAACATTTAGAACAGCAGCAACAAACTAAGTAGCTTTTCACATTAACCACAAACAAAAAGAAAAGTGATACAGCTGCATTTCAGGGTAGATCAAATTCTTCTCTTATTCATCCAATATAATTCCCCTTGCTCCTACACAGCTGCTCTTAGAACACGGTGTAGTATGCGTGGAGGAAAAATCAAGTTTTATTCCATAAAATGGAAGCAATTAGGTCTGTCTGGGGAATGCATCTGTCCACCAGTGAAACATTAAATGCCTCTACAAATGTAGGGATAGGTAACAAAACACAACATAAAAAAAAACTCCTAGGCAACTGAAAACAGCCCCTGCAATCCCAGACCCCCACATGCATTTTAAAAAAAAAGGATTAAGAAAATGCTTTTTAAGATTTTTTGTATCCAGTAGTCTTACAACAAGTCAGTTCCAGACCACAAACCTATAATGCTCAGAAAAGAAGTTCTACCTTCCAGCATCCTTTTACTGATGGTCAATTGACATTAAGGACAACGTTAGAAACTATTTTGGCTAACATGCAGCATCCTAGAAGAATCAAAAAGCAGAACACGAAAATACAGCAACCAAAAATAGTATAACTTTGCAGTGAAGTTTAACTAGCCATGCTGTCTTCCTTATCTTCACGGCACTGCAACTGAAAACAGGAATGAACCCAGCTCTGTGTGGAAGTACAAAATACAAGCTTTTTTCCCTCTGCATCGAGAATTTTAGGTGGGATTTGGAGCACTTCAGTAGAATGGAGCATCTCAGCAGCTGATCCTTGGCAAGATATTTACACATCTGGCACATGTGGGTTATGTTAAGCCCTTAAGAAGTCTAATTACAGACCAGACAATATACATTCAAGGGTTTTCTTGCAGGGTTTAAGACTCTGAAATTTAAAATCTTGCTATTATTTCCAGGAGTAAAGGGACTTCATATAGCTCCAAATGGAATGAAGAAAAACAAAAATGAAGATGTAAAATCTGTACATTTTCTAGGATAGTCAAA